TAAAAGTAATGGGTTCTGGCACGTTTTACAGATCTAGGATGCAAACGATTAATTCCCTTAAGATAAATTCAGCAAATAAGAATTTATATGATCAATACTATACCCAAGTAACAAATGTAAAGTTTTAACACCCGAAATATAATTGCGGATGCTATCCACTGATATGAATGTCCTACTGAGGAATTGGGTGAATATAATTGCAATGTTGAAGTGGATGCTGGTAAAAAAAAACGTAATCTAAAGTAAATACAAAACATCAAGAAAATTTCGCCATTGTATTTTCAAATTTTTATTTGTTCCTTCGGCAAATGCTGATGAAATAGAATGTCTAAGTTCCTGCCGCAAAGTCTTAATCTCTAAATCTGAAATAAGAAGTTACCAATTATGAACCATCTTAAAATGATCCTCAGTGACAATAACATCTGTCAATTGAGGAATATATGAGAACCTGATTAAAAAACTCAGAAACATACAATCTATCTATCAAATGCCATCTACTTTAGACAATCAGCTATACGGTTTCTATCACTACTAAGATGTGAATGCTTTTTAACTGAAAATCATATACTGAAAATGCCCAATGAAACAAATTTCTCTCAAACATTGTTGTAAGAAAAGCAATTACGAGCTTTACCTGTGTTTATAACAATGCAAAAAGCCAAATTATCACAAAAAATATTAACCTTTTTATTCTGTAAATCAGGTCCCCATAACTTTAATGATACCAAACTGTCAAATTTCTAAACAAGTAATACTTAAATCTTGAGCCAAAATGAACTGTGGGAAAAACAGTATGAAAAAACTTATTCCCAAAAATACTCCCACAACCTGTTAAACAAGAATCTGAGCTAAAAACACTATCTATCTGTGACCAGTCTCCGTAATCTATCAGGGAAATTTCATTATACATAGGCAAAAATTCATTTCCACCAACATAAATCCTTTTTGACTTCTTCAGGAATTAAGAAAACCTGATTACTAACAATCAGCATAACATTCACGTAACCAATTCAGTATTCGATTAACCAAAATCCTACTTGAACGGACGCAAGCCCCACAAAATTCAGTTTAACCAAGTAGTTTTCTGAATATCCTTTAAAGATGCTGAATCTCGATCTAACCAAGATTTGAACCAAAATCTAATTTCCTTGAGTCTTTTCCTTAGTAACCTCCATTGTCATAGTGTCACTATTAAAATAAAACACCTAAGAAAATCATTACCTTTGATGGGGGAAATGCTTTATCCACAGCTTCTCTATACCACTCTTGATAAACAACTCTCGTAACAAACAAAAGGCAAAGTTGGCAGATGAATTGATTTTCAACACCACCAAAATCATCTAAATAATTCAAACAAGTCAAACCGCATTTTTCCACATCATAAAGCAAATGCATTTGTCACCCTCTGACAAATATGAGCTGAAGACCTAAGTCCCATGGCTAGAAACAGTATCAAAAAATATATGTTTCTTCCAAGCAAAAACCTACTAAATTGTAAGCTGAGGGACAAATACTAATTTGCCTATAAGCTCTCCTTAAATCTAACTTATACATTAAACAACCTTGACCTTTTGCCTTAATCAAAGACACAAATCATCAATCTTTGGAAAAACGAGATCAACCTTTTCTCCAAGATACCAGTCTTTTGACACATAATCATTCAACCCCTGTTCCATCTTTTGGATAACTTAAATCCAAAATTACCCTCCTTTCATTAGGATTTGACTTTGGAACTGTATTTAACGGGGATACTACCATACCATCCGCAAAAGGACAAGAAGAAAATGGTCCAATAATTGCACCATGAGACGCTTCTTTTTCAAGATATTTAACCATGTGTTCTGGAAAAGTATTAGCACCAGAATGATTTTTAAAACTAACAGCTTTAGAAAATAACAATGATTTATCTTCCAACTCTAACTCAATGGGAAATCCAAATCTAAGCAAGTCACAAACTTGCATATCAAAATAACCAACCAACATCCGTTTCATGAATTCAACATCAATTTTTTCATTGACTGGAATCTTACATAATTCAAAATTAAATTTTCCAGAAGCTTTAACCTGTTCATAAACATGAAACTTTATTAACAGTGCTATCACTTAAAACCTGCTTCAGTGAAGCACAAATCTTGCAACTTTTTTTTATGATTGCAAATAACATCGCCACTATGACTTACATTGGAAACCTTAGCCTTGCTATTTAAATTAGTTTGCTTACAAAATTCCGGCAAGAAAATATCAAACTATCCCTGAATCTACTTCATCTTTAGACTCAGAAATAATTACAGTACGCAAACCATTAGTAAGTCAATCTTGAGAATGCGGACAAGAACTTGAACATTCCGGGTGAGCTAATTCCTTCCTGTCAGTTTGCCAACAGGTGGCACATACATGTTTACAGAACCTATTTCTGCCATTTAATGTCATTGAATGTGAAGATTTGTAACTACATTTATTTCTTTGATATTTGTTGCAAAAGAAAACTCTTGATTCATCACCAGAACTAACAAAGGTTTTTTCATTTGGCATAGTATATTCAGGCCTAGGTTTAAAATGATAATTTGAGCTCTGTGTTCCTGAAGCAAAAGGCTTTGATTTAACTTTTCTATTATGTCTAGCTAAAACTGCTGACTCAACATATTGAAAATCATCACTCCAAGTACCATGGCCTAACTCAATTTCTCTGAGAATAGCAGCATATACTGCTTTAATGGCTGAAAAGTCATAAGAACTGTTCAAAATACATTAATTTCTTGAGTAATTCTAAACGACCTTTCTTTTTCAGTTTTACCAGTTCTAGATGACATGACAATTTTCCAACTCTCCTGCTATAAATAGATTGAATTCAATATTTTCAAAACAAACATTTTTGGAAGCAAAGTCAAATCTCAAGTTTGAATGCGGAAATCTTTGTCTGTTTTTGACCATGTCTGAAGACTTGGAAGTGATCCTGATTTAGTGACCTGTTTCTTAACGTTTTTAGATTTTTTTCTTTTTGGAATCTAAACAAAATTCTTCTGCCTCAGAGGATGAAAAGGAATAACTAGACTCATCATCGGGACTCCGTACTAGTCTCTGATTCTGTCATTTCAACTAATCCCAATTGTGCTAATGATTTTCTTAGCCTTTCTCTGCAAATCAGTCATTTTGCGTAAAGAATCAATGTTTATACCTTTCTGATTCGAAGGACTGTCAAAGGCAGCTGCAATGCGAGTCTTCTTACCAGTGCTGATCTTCTTCTTACTCCCTTTGTCCTTGGCGTGGAACGTTGAACCCAGGGGATTTAACGTATATGTTCTACTTGCGCCTAAACGTTCGGAATTCACTCGTGATTTGGGTGGGGAAAGTGTTTCTACTTCTGGCTCTGCTGAAACTGACTTTTCTAACGAGGAAACAAAAAGCTTCTCTTTCCAAAATCTGCTTTCTCAAAAAGTTTAACTCTCTCTGCTCCTCTAAACGTCTTTTGCTGTTCATCTAACTCATTTAAACGAGCTAACATCGCCCTTTTCTCCAAATTTACGTGTTTACCGGTTTGTTTACTAGCTGACGGTGACTTGGTAGATTTCACTTCGTCTGGCTTATCCGCATTGGAGTTTGACAGGATTTTCTCACTGTTCGTTTTCGACTTTTTAGGTTTCGCGCCCATTTCTTTGTCTTCAATTTTATGAACATCGTCAATCAACACCTTCACTCCTTCCTCAGCTAACATCTTATAATCAACTTTTTTTTCTTTGTTTCTACTAGAAATTATCTGCGAATTCATTCGGCGGGATATTCCCAATTCCGAGAGTTCCTTCCGTTCACACAATACCACAGTACTACATAATACAGTTCCTTTCTCTTGAAAAATAAATAAACTTCAACGATTTCTGACGATTACAGTTAAAACCGCCAAAAAATTTTTTAACAAAATTGAAGAACAAGTAAGAAACGACTGATAACTGAACGTGTCTGACAAAAACTGTGCAGATTACGCGCACTGTTGAATATTTATAGACGGCGTAGGAATACAAAAATTCAATGAACCAAAACAATTAACCCAGGTAAATACAATTGACGTCACCAGACCTAAATATAGATAAGGAAAATCCTACGCCAATCCATAATTAAAAGATTTTCTATGAAGAAAATGCTATACATTTCGTACCAAGACCGTTCACCCTCACACTGGTGTGCTGGCCATAATCATATTCAAATTAATACAGTTAATTGTTTCCTACTTGACTAGTCACGCTAACTGGAAGTCTATACCCAATTTTGGGAGCTTATATGCAATAATTCATTATTGTAAAATATCTGGTTCAGACAAATTTTCACAAATGAAAAAATCTTTAAAAGATAAAACAACACATTTTCCTGTTAAACATATTTTATTTCTGCAAAAAGGATGTAAACGAACAGAAAATTTTTAATACAGTAAGCTATAACAATTTGATTGCAGCATTTCCCTGAAGGAGGGCCATCTGAGCAATACCCCGACCCTTATACAGTTGTACAGGTTCAGCAGCTAAGCACACACCATGCAGAGCTCCACCAAAACCTAGACCTATGTCAGAGCCTCCCAAAAAGCGGCGCAAAATCCTATCACAATTACAAACTAAGTAAGTATTTACACATACATGTAAACATGTATATTAATCATAACTTAAACAATATTCAAGTGTTAAATGTGCATAAAATATACCTGTAGGTAAACTTTATTATAACAGTAACATTTTTAAAAGTTAATTTGATATTTATTATTGTAAAAGTTCAAGAGATACATGTACATTTTTGCCAAAATAAGAATATTCTATTGAATCATAAGGTAATTGTGATATGATTTGAACTGATAAATATTTCAGTGATGAAGAAAATAGCCAGCAATACAACTTTCAAGGAGTAACAACAGATCAATCTCAATCTGTAACAAAAATGCATTTGAAAAATGAGTTCAGAGTTTGCTAGCATACTCAACATATACTGCAGACATTTTACCTAATATTTCTTTCATGTCAGTTTTATTTGGATAAATTCTTTCCACATTAAGATCATTCTTTGTAAAAGTTACAAAATCGCAAAATTCTGCCCCTGTTACTAAAAGCTGTCCCTGTACTTGGTACCAGTACTTATGTGTGCGCTTTAATAATATTTCTCCATTACCTCCTCAACAAACAAGTTATTCTTTTTTTCAAAGTTCCTTAACGCATCTAAAATGTTCCAGTCTCCGATAGTATAGGGGCAGTTAACTTCCAATATACCAGACTGTCCATTTTGACAGACCTTCCCGTCCGGGGTTGCACCAAGAAATGGAAATAGGGGATTCACTACACATTCATGTACATGATTCTTTGTTTTTTTTTCGATACATGTTGATGGCGACTCTTTCACTATTTTTGCCATATGAAGTGGGCACAGATTTGAAGGACTTGGGCTGTATCGTGTTTTTTTACAAATTTATCATTTAAATCAGCTTTACGAATCATAAAATTCCCAAATGTTGAGGCAGTGATTCTGTTCTCTCTTTCTTTATGCCATACTGTTGAATGGCTTTGATCTCTGGTGGACATTTCTAAGGCCTCTGCTTCTTCCTGAGATTTTACCAAAATAGCCCATTTATCACTATTATTTAACGCCAGGTCCGGTAATTCTATTTTTGGCTGGAATGGCATTGATAGATCTCCACAATCAGTTTCTGACCCTGTAGCTCTAATGGCTGCATGAGTGGAACCTGCAAAATATTTTACAATGCTTATTATTAAACTTATATTAAACATGAATTTTTATGTTTTACAGAATCAGCAATGATATCACCATTAGACATGTTGGCCTTGGCAGCTGAAAATATGGAATTAAAAAGAAAAATGGCGGAGCAGTTGCTTGAAAATAGTGCTCTGAAAGAGGAATTGTCTACAAAGACTAAATCAATGGCACAACAGGTCCTAGAAAATGAAAATCTAAGAAGGAAAATTACAACTAAAAAACCTTCATATAACACCAAATTTGACGATAATGTACAAAAGAAATGTCATTTCAATGTAGAGTCAGTTCGGGACAGTCCAGTAAGAGAAAACTTTAAATTTTACACAGGTTTTACCTATGAACAATTCATGAATATATATAAATTTTTAGTTCCCTACAGCGGTGAGAGCCCTATTAATTTTCCGAAGACAATATCTAGCCAAAAAACAATAAGATTACAAGACCAGTTATTGTTAACCCTTGTGAAATTGCGTTTAAATTTTGAATTTAAACACATAGCAAATTTATTTCAAATTTCACCACAAGATGCAGGAGCTTTATTTCGTGGATGGATAAACTATATGTATTACAGATTTGGGTCAGTGTCAATATGGCCAGATAGAGAAAAAATTCAAATGCAAATGCCCGAAAAATTCAAGGCTGACTTTCCAACAACAATTGTAATATTAGACGGAACTGAGTTAAAAGTGGAACGTCCTAGTTCAATGCGCAGTCAAAGTCAGTGCTACTCTGACTATAAGTCAGCAACAACATTAAAGGGACTTGTTGGTATAGACCCTCGAGGATCTTTCACTTTCATTTCAATGTTATTTTCTGGGTCTATATCAGATAAGGAAATTACAAAGCAAAGTGGTTTACTTAAATTATTGAAACAGCTTCTTGATAGTGGAAAGCTTAAATCAGGAGATGGTGTAATGGTTGATAAGGGTTTTTTTATTCGCGAGGAAATTGAGGAACTTGGGCTGAAACTGTACATACCACCATTTGCACCAGGCGCAGGACAAATGTCAGCTGGTGATGTTAAACTTATATAAAAGATAGCAGCACACAGAGTTCATGTTGAAAGAGCTATTTCTAGAGCCAAAAAATTCAAAATAGTTGATAACAGAATTGACCTAAGCTTGTTTCCTTGTAGTTCTGGCTTCCAAAACTTTATAAGCCGCTTTTTAACATTTTTGTTTTTTATCTGATGCGGCATTAAAGTTTTGGATTAGACCCGTTACGAAACCTAACCAGAATAACATAAGTTGATTTATTCTTGTTTTTCACTTGCAAATACACTTGACCCAATCAATTCTTGTGCATTTTACGATAAAACAATCATTTTAATATCATTCTATACCAATTAAAGTATCAAAATATTAATACCGTCATTAAAATTGCCTATTTAACTGTAAAATATCGATTTACGCCGACTACAGTTGGCCATGACATTCAGGTGCCACGCCAGATCTCGTATGACGTCATTCGCGGGAACAGATTTGAATAGAGTCGTGTTCTATATTTAGAACATTTTGTTGACATGATTTCGATACTTTTATTCAAGATAATGTTTTTATTTATTTTCATTAATTTTTTAGTAATTAAATACGATTGTATTGAATATAAAAGTCAGTAAATCACCTTTTTCAATATCTTTAAAAAAAAAAATTTATAAAAATATTGGAGGCACACGGGTTAGTAAAGGTCAATCTCGTAATCACGTGATCAAACATTTTGGCAATATGGCGGCCAAGTGCCAAAAATTTTACCTGTCGGAAACTATTAGTTAGTTTATGTTCGTAATAAGATTTTTATTTGTCCATCCTTGGCTTATCAACAGATTATATATAGTTTTATCAAGGTATGCTTCTCTTTACTTCATGGCATGTTCGATGAATAAATACAAGCGTGTCAGATTCCTGGCACGATTATTGGTGGACTTTCCCTATGGGGTTATCTTCAGCGTTCACGTCATGTCATAGTATATAAACGTGTACGCTGAAGACCTTAAGCTAGTTTCCTTGTATAAATCAAATATGGTTTTGCTGCTGTTTCCTCACTGGATTCATGCCATTTCTTATAAAGGAATAAGTAATGAATTACAAACCTGATATGCCAGAGCTGATCCAAGGTACTGTTTACCACAGTCTGTCTGTATTGTCTCTTCAGGCATTGTAGACAAATATGATAAAGGACAGTTTTGAAGTGATTGTAAGAATGTAACATCTGTGCTGTGAAGTGAAATTTTCCTGTAAAAATCAGGATTAGATTTTAGTTTTTATATAGAAAATATCAAACACTTATACTTTTCATTTGTAATATTTCATACGCAACCTCGTGTATACAATACTACCATGATTGAACATTTATTTATTTAAACACAGTGCTACGGATATGTGTTGATTTTGTTTATCATATTTTACTATGACTATTTGTTGCATGTTGAAAAACTGTAAATTTTGTGTTGATAATAATTAAATCATAAAAAAACAGATATTATTTATTTACTTATTTATATTTATTTATTTGATTTATTAGTCATTAAATTCGGATAAAAGAAATCACATTTATTAAAAAAACTTTATATTATGTAAACATTAAAATTATAAATACCTGTTATCATCAAATACAGGTGTGAGAGGTTTCCTCTTTCTGTTAGCATTTCCTGGTTTGGCTATGACCATAGTTGATACTGGTTCTGGCTGATTTTTTGGTCCACGGGGCTTATCCCACTGTTGTGGCAGAGTGGTACATGCTGGCTGTATCGGTACATCCTCTAACCCCTCAATAAGCCAGTCTGCTAACTTCATTATTACAGCAAGAACATGTGCACATTCACCAGATGTACTGGAAATGGAAAAAAAACACTTAAGTTTTGGCCATGTAACAAATAGATAAAATGGATAAATGCATCAATATTAATGCTTACTTTTTAAACATCAAGTTGTCTTTCAATGAAATAAAATTGGTTTGAATTTTTACTGTTTAAAAACGATGGGCAAATGTTGGTAGATCTAAATAACATGTTGTTTTGATTACAAACTATTTTAACAGTTAAAAAGATACGAGTCTAATGCAAAATTAAATCGATGTTACACAGTGACAGTTTAATATTTGTTTACCTTTTTTCATGTAAATTTTATTTTATCCAAGTTACAGAGCAGTAAGATTTACCGATATTACACAGAACATATATACACACTCATGTATACATGTACAACACAGTACAATACACACGTTACCGATCGCGTGTTTTCTATTGCATACTGGGTGTGTAAATGTCGCCGTGTATTGACTATTGAGTAAACACTGGTAAACATTGTACGGAATAACATATTGTATAAAAACAAGATGAAATTTAAAAGAAAGTATAAATTAACCTACCCAGCCTTGCATTTACAAAATGCTTCGGTGATCATTTTCTGTTTACAGTCTATTGTAATCAGCGTTGTGTAACTTTCATCTGTTTTCTTCTGGCTCCTAAACGTACACGATTTCACAACTAATTCTTCTTCTGACTCTCTACAGTAAATATTCTTACACTGCTGATGTAAGCCTCTTCACAAAACTTTCTTGCCTTCTGTCGTTGTCTCAAAGTTACGGTATATGGTAAATATTTCTCGCTAATATCTCCTGGAATTTCCACAGACGCTTGGGGTTTGGAGCTCAAAACGCCTTTAAAATCCAAATAAAATGCATATTTGTCAATCCCAGGACATGTACTGATCATATATATCGAAAAATCTTAATATATGCCGTTTTGAAAAAAAATCATATTTCAACATCTATAATAATACTAGATGTTGAAATATGATTTTTTTTTCAAAACGGCATAGCCTATATTAAGATTTTTTGATATATATGATCAGTACATGTCCTGGGATTGACAAATATGCATTTTATTTGGATTTTAAAGGCGTTTTGAGCTCCAAACCCCAAGCGTCTGTGGGAATTTCTCGTAATTTCGCTGCGGTAGCCATTTTGATAATGTTTGTCCAAGGTTTTGTTTTTCTATACCACGTGACTTAGTGGGCGGAGCGATAACGCGTTTGGCGTCTGGTCAATTGAATACTGTTGAATCATTTTTAGGGTATTTATTTGCTTTTAAATTTCTCTTTTGCAGCTCATTTATGATATGTGAGTTTCATAACTACAGATTGCTTTTTATAAAATTTTGCTAAGATGTCCAGATCCTTTGATTCTTGCTCATTATTCGCTTTGCAAAAAAAGTGATTACTGATTTGTATTCCTTTTTGTTTTTTAAATAAAGATAAATTTACACTGAGTTAGCTGTTTGATACCAACAGCAAATCAAATCGAATAAAATATGTTTAAAACGAGCCAACATATACAATACAGTGTCGGGACAAACAATTTATTCGTAATAAGCAAAAGTACTTACGACCACTACATCAAGTCCTTAACTAACGGTATAAACATAACATATATCCAATGAACACCATGAAATGCATATTTCGATATAATATTTGTAATTAGAAAAAAAGAAAAAGCCTTATTTTAGAATTTTTATTCTCACGGCACATTGTTCTGACGGCACATTACATCCCATGATTGAAAAGAAATGTCTTTTTGTTATAAAGTGTAAACAGGTGTTTTAAAAAAGTTCTTATAATGTATAAAGAGATGATATGCACCTGAAGAAAAAACGGTGCTGAAATGGGGCATAAAATATCATACTTGCAGCAAACTTAAGTTTCTGCGGATGTTTCGAAAATCAAATTTTCACCATGTTCATGTTAAAATGTTGAATTTTGCTTAAGCCGGCGCTAGGGGACATGAAAGATAATTTGCAATTTGCTGTAGCACCTTTTATTAATTTGCTCAATAAAACCGAGCCTGCAACTGTAAACGTATGCCAGGAAGGGAAAATTAAATACAATTTTTATACAGTTTCTAAGTTTATAACAAGATTTTTCGGCAACGACAGTGTCTAGTGAGTTAAAAATATTGGATTTAAATACATAATAACTTACAAGAGTGGATACCGATGACGTTTTAAGATATTTATTAAAATTGAACTAAGACAGTTTTAAAACTTAACATAGTCTGCAATTCTCTTGTAATTTTGTTGTGATTAATGCTTCCGAGGGATCACTTGTTTCCAGAATTTTATTAAGTCAAGACCGAAGTGACAATTTTGATTCAAACTTTTATTAGGTTCGATGTTTGAAATCCACCAGTGAAAATCCAGAAATCCGGAAATCCTCCAATGGACGGACGGCCGGATTTCAGAATATGAAATCTAGGATTTCAATGGGAGCCATATTGAAATCTGATATACAATCTGCATACGAAAATAGTGAATAAACAGGAACATGTAGTGAAGACTTAAAGATTTGTGACCTTAAACAAACATAAACTTTACATAAATAACTTTCTTGACGTGAATTTGTTTTAAATTGATATTAACAATAAGAAATCTCCAATATAAAATAATAAATGACAGATTTCAAGGCTGTCTGTCATTGGACGTCTGCTACACAGGAAATATAAAGAGTAAGTCAGTTTTCTGCTATACATAAAGGTTAGTGTAACACTTCTACCAGCTAAAAAAGTCTTAACAGTGTCCCTTGGTCAATCAGGTAAGTGAATCTTTTTCTTGCAGAAATCAACAATATATAAAGCTATAGGATTTCACAATGCCACTTGGATTTCATTACGAGTATAAGTTCTGTTGGAAGTACATTTCAGAACTAGATGGTCAGATCCTTACACAACATTTTCAATATTGTCGTTTTTTGGCGTTCTTTAGAGATTCAGTTTTTCTCTTTTTTCATTATAACTTTTTTTAAAAATAAAATACACTTTTAAAGGAAAATAATAAATTTCCACACCATAGAAATACAAACTTATACAGCATACAGCGGTACATGTTACTAATTATTATGTTTAAACTGTATTACAACAGAATAATCTCTTTATTTAATTGTTTCAAACAGCATTTACGTAGTATATTATACACGTAGATCTATCTTTACTCCAAATATGCGATTACTCCAAAATAAATTTGATGATGTGTTTGACTTTGTAACTGTTCAGGTTCGAACATGAGCATGGATGAACATAAAAAGGGTTTATACGATGAAAGATCATATGATCATGATAAGGATTTATCCTACGTATGATTATAATGAGGATTAATCAGAAGGGGGATTCATCCTATGGATGATAATAATAAGAGTTTATCCTTTTGATGATCATAAGGAAGATTTATCTTTATCCTATGAATAATCTCAAAGAGGGTTTATCCCATGGATATGGATAAGGAGGGTTAATTCTACGAAAACCATAAGGAGGGTTTATTCTATAAATTATCATCCATAGGAATTTATTCTATGAGTGATCATTAGGAGGATTTTTCCTGTGGATGTTTATGGAAGCTTTATCCCATGAATGATCATATAATTATTTGTCCTATGAATGATCATAAGGCGGATTTATCCATCGGCAACTGATGTTCATACTTGAATACCTTAAATATTTTTGCTTATTGCACGTTATGAAATTAAACATTTTAAAAAAAAAAAAGAAAAAATAATAGTTTTGGTTTATCAAATTCATCAAATAAACTGAATCAACATGCATTAATTGTTCAGAAATACGTTATAATGAAAAGTGCTCAGTCTGTATTTATGCAATTATCTGTGATGATATTGTTCAACTCTTGTCAAGAATAAATATTTTAAACTCGTATAATTAATACTGGCTTTTTGAAGGACTAAAATGATGTGGCTGTCATATTGATTGATTGCATAAATCACAATAATATAAAATTTATTTATGAGTGCATTTATATTCATGCCTGATTGTTAGCAAGAAAGATAAACTATCAATCAATCACAGTATCATTCAAATACTCCCAAGTCAAGAGACAATGAAAAAATAATGAAAACAAATTAGTTTCAATTATGTTAATTACAAAAATCGGGCGAACTCCTACACATGATTCTAATGTAACGCAACTGGAACAGCGTTACGTCATTGTTTACGCTCACACATTTTATATTAAACTAACTCATCTGAATTCTAATGATCAGTTTGGCTTATAACACTACAGACATCTCTATGTTTTAAGACAAGTTGTTCTTTAAGCATACTAAACATTAAAACTTTTAACATCAATATTAAATTGGTTCTGACACTGGAAGAAATTTCATAATGGCATTTTGGATTGTGAGTAACATCGTTCTTAATACTCTGATTGGACTCAGTTTTAGTAAAGACTGGACAGAATATGGTGAAACTATTATGTATAATTTGTCATATGTAACGGAAATACCACAAAGGAATAAACTTGTCACTTTAGCTCAAAGGGTATCCTTTTCAACTTGTAAATTTCATTGTAAAGAACAAGAGTGCGTTGCATTTTTCTATATTACACACAATGAAACGTGCCTTTGTGACGAAGAAGAATCTGCAAGTACGGAAGATATTGCAAACTCTGATCAAAACACAGGCATAGTATATGGACTTAAGAAAACCAGAGTTTTGACGTCATATTTACAGGTACGTATTAAAATATTCCTTTGAAACATTACATTTATATTTTAAGGTTTCGTCTTTAATATAAGGCTGAAAAGTTTACCAATGCCTTTATTGTTCTTTAAAGTCTTAAAAGAACAGTCCATATCAAATTATAAAAGGAAATATTGAACAAAGGTAATAGTAAATTTTAAGGAACGTAAAAAGGTTCCAAAACATTTTGATTACAATCTTGTGATTTTTTCTCTTTCGTAGACAACCGATGGATTGTACAAGAAAATACATCGCCAACCAAGCGTTTTAGACTGTTTATCACTTTATGAGATGGGCTATGCCGAAGACGGTGTGTATGTTATTCAACCGTCTGAAGGTGTGAATATTGACGTGTGGTGTGATATGTCCAATGGTGGATGGACAGTTATACAGCGACGCCAAGATGGAACTGTGGACTTCTATAGAGGTTGGGCTGAATACGTTGATGGATTTGGGAACACAACAGGCGAGTACTGGGTTGGTCTTAAATACATTGATATATTAACAACAATTAGTAGTGAACTTTATATAGAAATGGAAACGTTTGAACATGATAATGTTTCACCCGCATCAGCTTTTGCCGAATATTCCACCTTTAAAGTCAATGGCGAAAGTGACGAATACAGGTTGTCAGTATCGGGATATAATGGAAACTGTGCAGATTCCTTTAGCAATCATAACGGCTGGAAATTTTCCACATTCGACAATGATAATGACGAAACAGGTAGCGGAAATTGTGCCGTTAATTACAATGGAGCCTGGTGGTACAGAGCCTGTCATGCTTGTAATTTAAATGGGTTATATTTGGGCGGTTCTAACACAGAATATGGTAAAGGTATCACCTGGGCAGCGTGTTGGGGGCAAAAATATTCGCTTAAACGTAGCGTTATGAAGATACGCCGGAAAACCGGAAAACGTAAGGTTTAAACAAAAATGTTAACCTGAGGATTATTGCGTAACTACCTTTCTATTTTTAAGACATTATTTCTGATGGCAACTTTCTTATTAACAGTTGGCAAGATAAGTAGATAACATTTCTAAAGCAAATGTGTCAGAAGATATTAAAGATTGGAACTAAGTCTTATATTGCGTACATACTTT